CCATGCTGGGAATCAGCGGGGGGGGGGCGCAAATAAGCCAAAGCCAATCACATGAAGATGATTCAACTAAATTGTGACAACTGAATTGTCATGAATACCCTGCTACTTTGACTTGGAGTGGTTAGTTTGCTTCTACTAGTACTGCATTCCTCTAGCGTGAAGCAAAAAACCTTGCATTAAGGCTTCCTCAAGATGATTTCAGGGAGGAAATGCTTCGAAAGAATCCTGGGAATGAAGACAGGGCCGGGTGCATGCTCTCTCTCCACACACAACTTTCTGCTTTAGCAAAAGACCAGGTCACAGCCTGCACGTACCAAAAAGGAACTATTTTTTCTCTCTCCACTACAACCAGATTACAGACCCTGTTCCCAGACAAGGTCTCCTGTCTCCTCCTGTCCAAAAATTCCAGCTCAGCTAATGACACAACACATGCAAACTTCACTTTGGGCAGCACAGAAACATTTTCCACAGAAATTGCTTTTGCTAAATGAAAAGGATCCTCCCTTCTTCATCTTCAGTATTACATGGCAGGCCAATGAAAACACATTCAAAACCCACCCAAGCAACCAGGTGAAAAAGGCATTTATTTCAGCTGGCAGTGTGACTACTGGAGAAATCCTGTTAATGGCATTAAACAGGAATGCAGTTAATGCACACAGAGAGGCTGTACACTAGCACCGTATCAGCTTGCCATGGGTAAATACTGCTGGAACAATAGAGTTTACCCAAGACCAGCTGACACAGTGTTGAAATGCATTTCCCCACTGTTCATACTGAACGTAAAAGCTGTGCTTAGCAGCCTGGCAGCTAGCAGGGCTCTTCAAGGCTGCAGAGTTTTTTTCTAGCAAAGATAATCTGCCTAGGTTGCTTTCAAGTCTTCCAGAGCTAAATAAACATACACTGCTATTACACTGAGAAATGGCAACAGCAATAACCAGGTGAAAGACAGTTTTAAACATTTAATTTGAAGGACAAAAAGTCATTGTTCTCCTGTTCCTAGAAGCTGGTAATTATTTTGATCTCAGTTTGCCTTAGAAGTGTCTGACTGTCAAGTATCAGATAATATTTCCCTCTGTGTTCTGAGAACTGGTAGTTCAATTTTCCAGGAAGAATTCCAGATGTTTGTTATAAAAGTTCGTTAGTAGAAAGAAGACATGAAATAATTAGCAACCATGAGCTCAGCACTTCAGCAGTACAGCCTGACATATCTTTAAAGCATCCAGAGCTCAATATCACAAGCCTCACGTTTTAAAACTGCGTCTTTTCTGAGGCATGAAGTTCTTTGCCAGCAAGTGACAAGGTGACAAAATAACCAGCCCCCTTTGGTAATTCAGGCTGATATGCAAAACCCTGTAATATCTTTCTCTAAAGTAAGCAATGTATAAGCCTTCAAGACAGTATTGCAACTACGGACTAAACCAAGCAAGCAAGTCTGGGTGCCTGCAGAGGCGGCAGCAGTGGCATTGAAAACGTTTGATGCAGGGGATGCTTCCCCAAACAACCTGCTCACATTGTCGGGCTGATGCCAGATGTCATCAGCAATTAAAGCCCTTCCTTAGCAAGGTTATTGCGCAGTGCTGTATCCCAAGGTCCACCAGGAAATGTGCCATGCTGAAAACCATAGACAGCCTGGAAAAATGTAAGCAAATTCTATTTACATCTTTAGAAACTCCTCCCTTTTCCCTCAAGTTAGGAATTCGTCCCTACACACAAAAGGCCTCCTTGTATTCAGACCCCTCAGAACGGATGGATAATTTACATCAGGAAAACGTCCCGCCAGCTGGCACGCCAACTACAAGCACTGAATTCTGAGCAGATGCCTGGGTGAGATAAGCTCAGACTACACTCGCCTCCTTCATTATCGGTCCACTCACATCCCCTGTGTGTGGGAAGAAACCACGCTACCTCTTCTGCACTCCCTACTATCCATCAATGCATCCTCACAGCAATGAGATTTAAAATACAGACGCTGAGTTTTACTGCCCAGGAAAAATAAGAAAAATCCACCCGAGAAGATTGTACTGGGCAAAGAATTGAGCCTTTGCAAATTTGTTTTCAGCAAAATTCACTGAGCAGTAATGAAATGGTTAAACTTTGCTCTATTTCTCTTTTGGTTGGCTCCTGTTTCAGAGCAGCTTTTTTTCACCCAGGAACCTGC